TGTGTCCTTTCATCCTTGCTGGATCCTTTCTCGGCTTTTGTAGAACTTCTGTTCATTGGTGTGGAAAAGAGAGTTATGTTTTTTGCGCGCTGCAAACTCTTTGTAACGCCGAAGACGTTGGCAATATGCACTGAGTTTTTGTTGCAAAGTGTCAATGCATTCATCTACATGTTGATTATGACTTTCATATATTGTATGCGTTTTAATTTTTTAGAAGATATTCGCTGCGTATTTAACTATGCTCTTGCTCCTGTTCCCTTGTTCGTATTGTGTTAGTATCCACAAGTCTTTCCTGATGTTAGTTATCTAATTATCTATACGATGTTCACATTTTGACTTCCTTTGTTCCTTTCTGCCTTATTGTGTGCGTTCTTTGGTGTGGGAGTCGTTTGATCTGACTGCTGCTTCTGCACCACACTAAACTGCCGTATGAACCTCTGTAAAGTTGGAATGATGTATAAGATAATTTGGTATGACATACTTCTTGAATATTTCAACTATGCGGGCTAGTTTTCTGGATGTGTTCTGCTTTGGAACACTGTGCTATTGTGGTTGGTCCGAGCCTTCAAATTCAATGATTGCTGCGTAGAATCCGTTTCTGCTTTTGATACGGGAACATGTTCGTATGATGTCTGCACCATACGTTCAGTGTCTTTTGGAGGTGTTTGGAGAGTTATATTTCGAGATGAATCTCCGACTCTTAAACTTGTTTCGATAATTTATTCAAAGTATCCTGCAACTGTTTAAAGATTTGTATTTTGAGGTGGATCTTCAACTATTAAGTTTGTTTGTTGGTCACTATTGCTTAGGTATTTTGCCACGTCTGATTTAATTTCTTCTAGCAACATCTGCGGTAAAAGATTGTTGGTCACAATTGTACGACGATGATCAGTGATCCTTTGTTCTATAACGTTTAATTATGTGTATTGCATTTTGAATTGTTGATATAGCTCATGTCTATATATTGTTAAGTCCGTTTCAAGTTTTGTGATCTTATAGTATAATAAATGTGTTTATGTCAATAGTCCACTTTAAGTGCTGTCTTTCTTTTCCTACCTTGGTGGTTGAGGGTTGACTCTCTCTCAAAACACTTTTGGTAGGCGGAGCTTGGAGCTTCCTTGAGTATCGTCTGCGATATTTTCGGGGAACCCGGTAGGCGCCAGCCTTTTCAGCGACCTACCAACGGTCACGACCAGCACCGGCTCCAGACGTGCCCTCTCGATTCCCAGGCAGCGGCTTTTTAATTGTACTTCTTGTAATCATCTCTCCATAAAATATGTTATGTGCCTTTTATACATACGACCAGGTGAAATGGCAGTAACCGTTGGCCTTTTAGTTGGCTCCTCTGCCACCGCCATAGGAGGACGGCCCGCCTTGATTTCGTCCAGTCGAGAAAGCCTTTCCCTTGTGCGGCCTTCCCCGACCCCACCTTGTTCGTCTGCTCACCGACCTCGTTTCCGAAGGGGTTGATCCCGAACCTCCGCTCTGGTTGATCGGTTTGTCAAGTCCACCGTGAAGGGGAACGGGTGGTTGAGATGTAGAGATTAAGGTCACTTTGTTGGGAGATTATTTTCACGGACATCCCCATTTTGGATTATTATTATTATTATTATTATTATTATTATTATTATTATTATTATTATTATTATTATTGTGATGATGATACTAATTGCGAATGAACATGTCCCCATCTGCGCGGCTCCCAGTGGCGCCTGGCAGAGCTTCCGCTCGCGATGCCCCGCGAGCCCGTCACGCGTTTCCGCTGCGCGGCCGGCCGCATGCGAAACGCGGCGCCGGAAGCTCATTGACTAGCGAAGCGAGGTCGTTGCCAGCCCTCCCCGCGAGGGAACGAAACCTGGACGCACGGCCGCGAGGGAGCACTGCGTCACGCACCCCGCGTTGGCGCCTTGGCGTTGCGACGGACGAATTTTTGACACTAGCTCTTTTAGCTATTATAGGTCGTGTTAGGTGCGTCGCCTGGAGTGGAATTCATGCGGTCTGCTGCTCTGGTCGGTTTCCGTAGTTTCAGAATGGGTGCCGGAGCTTTCCTTATCAAACGCTCACGGACCGCCGGCGATTGTTTCTTCTTAACCTTTCTTCTTCTTCTTCTTCTTCTTCTTCTTCTTCTTCTTCTTCTTCTTCTTCTTCTTCTTCTTCTTCCTCTTCTTTTTCTTGGGAGCTCAGGCTGTCTGGGCTAGGGCGTTGCACCACTGGAGATACCAGGAGAGAAAAACATCCCGCAAGCTGTTATGTAGGTCGGCGCCGGATCTCACGTTCGAGCAAGAGAGGAACACCGCCACCTCAATTTACGGGACTTTTAACAGTGGGAGTAAAGTCGAAAACCTGACTTAGACTAAATGTACTAGACAACTAATTAGAGCAAGATAATTTGTGCCATTCTGTAGCACCAAGAGGTACTTCCACGTACACATACGTAGTAATAAACGTATAGTTTAGAATAGTACGCAATGCCGGGAAAAATAGATTTCGAAATTTCACTGGAATTACACGTTTTGTGGTCTTCATGAGAAAATAAATTTTTACTTTCTCATCCTTGCTTCATAGGAAGAGAAAATATCGTAATCGTGCACCCGAAAACGACGAATTTTCGACAGAAAACTTCATATTGCTTGATCAAAAAAGTTGATACATTTTCTTCCTATGTATAGTAAACTAACATAATATGTTGCGTACTCCATGTTTAGTGGGACCTTGACATCCAAATAATTGATTCACGGCAAAACGTGTCTGCCTATCCGTCTGTCCATCCTTCCGTCCATCCGTCCGTCCATCCGCCCGACCATCCATCCGTCGAATCCATCCATCACATCCAACCGTCCGTCCGTCTGTCCGTCCATCCATCCGTCCGTCCGTCCGTCCGTCCGTCCGTCCATGCATCCGTCCATCCGCCCGACCATCCATCCTTCGTATCCATCCATCAGAACGCATGCGTACGTTTTATTTTTGATCTAAGAAAATACGACCATGTATCCGAATTTTTTGACAGAATTTGTATGCTTACTGTAGACAAAAGACGGTTACTCCACTCTCTACTTCTTTATAAAGTTTTAACCGCTTCTCATGCAACACGCCTCATAAGTAACTTTAATCCTCTGAAAGTAAATCGAGCTCGTGAATCAGCACTGCTTTGTGTACCACGTCACAACACGACTTCACTCGGTAAATCATTCGCCATTACAGCTATCCGAGCCTGGAATATATTACCAGCGAGACTAAAACTTTCAAATACATTCAAAGCTGAATTAACCACATGGGTAAGGAATAACGACATATAGAACGACGTTAACGTCTTCTTCCAATCTCCAGACTTCTCCCATTTCCAAGCGCCCGGTCACCGCCCTCGTTAAACACCCTCTATTTCTCCCTCTTTATTCTCAATATTCTACCCATACCTCATTGCTCTATCCTCATCTTCCATCCCTCTCACACCTAAATTATGAGCATTATTATTTTTCTGTGTACCCTAATGAAATTGTAATAAAATATACAAAAGTATTAGTGACGTTCCAGATAAAATATACTTATAGCTATCTTTGTACCATCATCAGGATATTCACTACAATATATTGGCATAAACAAAACTGATATTAAGATACCGCACTCTTTGTATTGTTCCTTAATACTGCCAGTATTGTGTTTAAAATTAATGTTGTTATTAGCTTATAGTGTAAAAATTATTTTATATTTATGTTAAGTGCTACTGTGAACGAAACGTAGTTTCTGTAACGTTCCTCAAATAACTTCACTTTTTTCTCCTATTTCTTCTTCGTCCTTTCTTCGCTTCTTTTCTCTTCCCTCTCCTTCACAAATTTTATCATTTATACTTTTTGACCCCTTCCCCTGTGCGTCTTTCTCTTTCACGAAACTTCCCTTTCACTACTCAGTATAACATACTCAGTTCTATTAATGTTCGCCCTAAGCCGCCATCCTGATGGAGGTTTTCTGGGTTTACTCAATCGCTTAAGGCGTATGCCGGGATGTCCTAGATTTGTTCTCCAGCTTGTCCTTCCCTCTTAAAATGTTACTACTCTAAATGTATGTAAATTCAGTGATTAGGCGGAAGAGCAGGTCTTATGCCTGAGCCTCGCCATTAATAAAGACATTATTATTATTATTATTATTATTATTATTATTATTATTATTATTATTATTATTATTATTATTATATTATTATTATTATTTATTATTGTTATTATCCGTCCGTTCATCTGACCGTCTGTCTGTCTGTCAGGCCGTCCGTCTCTCCGTCGGTCCGTCCGTCTGTAGTGAACGCTTGTAGTGAACGCTAAAGATGTGTTTTACAAGTCCATCTTACTCATGTCTGTACATACAGTTATATTCATCCAGTCTTTAATATAGTTCAATATACAATTTTATTGAACGTAGAGACATTGCATCAATAACGTTATGTAAAAAAAGCCTCGTTATCTCATTCAGCTCCCATCCATGTCGCAGTCTACAATGAAATTCTCAGAATAATATCTCAAACTGCCATATCGTAGCATTGTCTGGCAATGGTATTAGATGGTAAGTGGTATTATGAAATTACCGCACATTAAATAAATGTTCGTACAAAATTATCGAACTCAATTGTTTTAAATTTCCTTACATATTATCCTTAAAAATTTAACTTTTTTTTAAAAAGACTCTAACTTATTTTTATAAGAGTAAATCTAATTGGGTAATTTCAATTAAAGTTTGCGATTTGGCGATAAGAGAATACATCAATACATTGAGAATACAAATTGTAGAAGAGAGTAAAAATCAAATTAATATTGGGATTTTCGATAGTAAATTATATTATATTATATAAGTAAATTATATTATACTATAAGCAGTAAGGTATATTATATTATAACTAAAGTAAATTAAGAAAATGTTCTGTAAAAACAGCATAGATTTCCCCCGGATTGACCGTGGTGAAATATAATTTGAAAAGCGCGCGTTACATGAAATTAGGTGGCGAATGTGCTTCATAGATGGCGTGAGTGTGAACGAAAGTGACAGATCCTCCCGAGTTTCAAAGAGTCTACGCAAAGTTTTCGAAAGCAACGGTCTTGTCCGTTGGTTTATTGTGAACTGGATATTCTTTGACTTTCTCTCTGAAAGCTGTGTCGACCTATAAGATAGCGATAATCCGTCCGCGATGCATTCACGTGCTCTGAACATGGTTTTATTACTCTTCTTCAGCTGATTCTGTAGATTGTGCTTAAGCGCGGAAAATGAACTGCGTGAGAAAATGAAATAATTTTTTAAATTTTTCTAGGATGTGAGTCATGTTTTGTATGTTACTTGTCATGCTGTATGTGTCAACATTTTTCAATTTTCTACCCAAGGGTTTTCTTTGATTAATTATATAAAATTATAATGTTTAACGTTAACACTCAGTTTTTGCATTCGATTATCTTAACCACATGACAGTGTCATACTTTTTTTTAGAACGGAAGTGCCTATGAGTGATCTGGAGAAAATTATGGATAATAATTCATTTCTGGGTAATAACCCTGGAGCAGTTAGATTTGGAAATTTTATCAATTATTACTCTTTCCATCCTCCAGAATATAGAATTTCGTCAATTTTTGATGATATTTGGAAAGAAGGTGATGCGTTGATCTTGGATATTGGCTGTAACTCTGGTGTAGGTATTTCAGCACATTTCTGCCAAATCTACTTCTTTATTTTTCCAGATGTTTGTATTCAATTAATGTATTATGGGATGAGTAAAAATGGAACTCTGTTTTATGATTTATTCCATATTTTTTTGTTTGTTTCAGGATTTGACACAGAAATTATATGAATATCTTCAGAGCACTAAAGCACAAGCATTGGAAAGTGAAGAATGTTCCAATGTTGCTAGTAATTGCTTCATTTTGGGCTTAGATATAGATGCAATATTAATAAAGAGAGCGAGAGAAAGCAATAAATTTCCAAATAATGTGTTCTACGAGTGTTCAGATATTATGTCTGATGATTGTGATATAAAAGTTTTAGAAATTATGCAAAAATTCAATAAAAAGAGTTTTGATGCAATTTTGTGTTTTTCCATATCAATGTGGATTCATCTCAATAATGGAGATGAAGGTTTAAAGAAATTTATCAATAAAATATGTTCATGGACTGATTGTGTTATTATTGAACCTCAGCCTTGGAAATGTTACACTTCAGCAGTCAAAAGGTTGAAAAAGGCTGGTGGCAGTTTTCCTTTTTCTCCTTTTTCAGACTTAGCACTTGCTAGAAATGTTGAAGTTGGCATTAATGATATTTTTAATATAAATGAATTTGTAAAAGATTTTGAAACGATACCAAGCAATTGGTCTAGGAAAACCTATTTGTATCGCAGACAAAATTGCTAATATAATGATAAAATAAATGTATTTTAAGAGTAATAAATTATTTATGTATGAATATAATTTTTCTTCTTGACTCATTAACTATAATTCCTTTTCTTCCATTAAGAATCACCAATTAATGTAAGTAATTACAGGGGAAATATTTCATACACAGAAAATAAAATATAAATGATGTTAGGGTGCTATTACTTGGGTTTTGGTAACAAACAAACTACTGACACATTTATTTAAATTATTAAAATAAAAGAAAAAAAACATTTCACTGTTAATATTTTTCGAAAATGATTTCCTGTTTAATAAATATTGAAAAGTACACAAAGAGTAGAAAGTATACAATTACTAACGCTTCAGGAAGAAAGAATTTTGAAAATGGCGGTGAAAATCGATTTTATCGCAACATGAACTCGACTACCTTCCGTGCTCATATCGATTCCAAGCGATGCTAAATGGGGATTTTAGGAGATTTCTAGCTCCCAGTGTCGTGTGCGTAAACTCTTCAATAGTTGGTTCTCAAGAGAATTAAACTAAATAGAATCAATGTTTTCTGGAAATGGTGTGTAAAGAAGACGTTGTGACATGGTTTAAAGAATTAACTAGCCACAAACGTATTGATGTAATGTGTACTTTGCTGAATATGTGCCTTCCATTTGAACTACGGTTCCTTGGCACATGTCTTGAGGACCTCGGTAAACGAGATTTCCACGATTTGAGGGATGTAGAGAATCGTGCGAATAATGTTTCGGAGTTGTCCGATTTGCAGTGCTTTAGTGATAAACGAACTCAAAGAAAATTAGCCTTATATCTTGCGCTGTTGCATTCGTGTAATCATGCATGTTCCAATGGCCTTTACAAGATTTTAGCCAACTTTGATTTTGGTGAAATTAATAACCTTACGAACAATTCTTCCGAAGAAAATCCTTTGGATGAACTTTTGTTACTTTATACCCTAGCTCTGAACCATCCAGCTTTTACTTATGAACAGAGAGCTATGTTTGGAAATATTTTAGTGAAACTTCAAGATGAAGAAAATAAGTTATATGCAGCCAGACATTCTGTCGGTATAGGCCTAGTGTATGTTAAGAATCCCATGCAGGTGAGAATTTTTACTGCAATTTTTTTTGTGTCCTTGAAGTGAAACACCCATGAGAATTTTATATGTGATTCTGTAAGTAGGTCAACATTTTGCTATTATGATGTATTTGGTAATGAGAATTGACAGATATTCTCAAACTGTTTATTTGCTTATGAAAATTTTGTTCAATTTGCAGGCGTGTGTCCCTTGCCCTGCGTCTGATGAGCAAGGGCAACTAGGACCTTGCACAGGCCTTACAATGCCTCCTACTCACCCAGGTAAGCTTTGTTACTGATACTATGCAAGGAAATATTATGTAGAGTAGTAGAATTATTTAATACATGCACTGTAAATGTAGTTTCAGTAATTTTGAAATTTTTTGTGTCTAATGTCAGTTATATTAAAAATTCAGTTAAAAGACTTTTCAATTTTACTTCTTCCTTTAGATTCCATAATGTACTCTCTTTTTAAATTAAAGTAGTTTTTAAATTAGCTATGTATGTAGTGTTACCCAACTTATTTAATTAGTTTATTCTCTTTAATGAATGATGCAGTTACTTGTAGGACCTATCAATGCAATATTGTCTTCAGTTCATAAAACTATTTACAGAACTTCAAGCCTCGATTGGATTTCTTCTCAGTGTTAAATGATTCCTTTTCACAAAGGACAAATGTTATTCTTTCCAGCAGCTGACTTGAAAGGCAGAAATTCTCTCCCTCCAGGGCTCAATCTCCCTCCGGGTCTGAGTCTGCCTCCGGATCATCAGATGACTGCTACGAGTTATGTGCATGTTACATTTCCATCAGCTGGACACCAACAACTCCCTGCAGTGCAGTGGCATGGGGCGCCGCTCATGATGACAAGCCTCTGCAGCACTCTGCCCAGTGAAGTGCAGGCTGGTGGAGAAGTGTCACCGTATCCATCTTCTCCGCTTATGAGCCGGCAGTCATCTCCATCGCAGTCTGGCTCTCCTAGTCGTGCTGCTTCTCCAGCTCGTCTCGGACCTCTTCCACCTCCACCTTCGCAGCAACAGCAGCAGCCTCAGTCACAGCAACAACCACAACCGCCTCAACCGACACCATCTCAGCAGCCCCAACAAACACCACAGCAACAACCTCAGCAGGTGCCAGCCCTAGGTGGAGGTGATCGTAGTCAAGGTTTCAAAGGACCTCTACCAGTGCGCCGACCAGAACGAAGTACAAACTCTGCAGTTCACCGGCAGAACTGTATTGACGTCTCAATGTCGGCCCCGCCTTCAACAGCAGCTCCACACCAACGAGGGACAATGACTCGGAAGAGCAGTACTGAGCCAGTTGATTCATTGCGAGAAACTTTGGGAAAGGAGATGCCTAACTTTCTACAAAACCTTCAGAACTACACATCAGATGAGGTAAGAAGTATTATTGCTTTTGTTAGGATTTTATTGCATTAGGCAGAACTAGTGATGCGTTTTAAGTTATTTTAAAGATGAAAGTAATTTGAAAGAATATTTGTCTATTACTAGTAGAGGGTTATTCTGCAAGTGCTTGAAACTTGTTGAATTATATTGCTAATATAGAAATTGTCAATGAATAATGAAGTTCATAATCATTAAGAAAGTTATTTTATTTGCATGAATCTATTGGTTCAGAGGTGTGGCTTCACTTTTATTTAATGTCTTCAAATTATGTTTTTGCTGTTTGCATTAGTACAGTTGAGGAATTTCAATGTTAAAGTAAATTGGAAATAAACTTGATTTAATTGGATATAAGATTTTATGTATTTACAAAAATATTGCATATGTTTTTTATTTCAATAATTTTTTATTTAATACTTATACTTTTTATTTAAATTATTTGCAAGATAGATGTTGTAATGTCTTTTAAGTTTTAATAAGATCCTGAGTGTCAAGAAGAAATTAAGATAGATAGAGACTGCATTGTATTAATAGTTAGTTACAACTCTCAAATAAATGAATGATCTAGTTAAGCAATTATAAGTCACTGCGCAAACCCATTTATATTATTTATAATTGTACTTTGTGCTGTTTGCATTATTGGCCCTGAGATGTTTGATATGTTGTGTAGCTGCGGCGAATGAGTGATGATGAGCTGAAGGATTTGGGGCTGCCTGCGGGTGCCATTCACCAGCTTCGAGCTATAGTCACAAAGTTAAACAACACCAATGGCATCAGCACTCTTGACAAAAGGGAGCCAGGTCCTGTGGTGAACAGAAGAAAGCAGGAGAACAATGCTGATGAGGTGAGCCCAAGAGCTGTGCATTTTATGCATTACTACTCTTTCTGTTGTGAAATTTTGTGCTTGAGATACTTTGTGTGCTTTGGGAAACCACAGCTCAGTGCTAGAGTGGCTGTTGGGGCTGGATATGTTAAATTGTGTAGTCTCTTGTAGTTTCCAATTAAGGAACCACCAGAGTGAAGGTATGTGATCTTCTTGTTCCTTCAGACTCGCTACTAATAAACTAGTCATTCAAAAATGAATTATTAATGGGGTATGAAAGCCAATGTGAATAAAATAATTTCAAATTGTTGGAAAAATTATTTTTTTAACATCATTAGATGGTAATGCATTTATTTATGATAGCATTTCATAGAAAAATTAGATAAAAAAGAATGTTATGCTATATTTATGCACACAAATTGTTTTCGCTTCTTTTGTCATGGTTGGAATGAGACAATGGAAATAGCATTCCAGTTTTCTGGTAACTTTCAGATGTTGCTGGGTTTGAAAAACTTAAAGCAAAATGGGCAACAACCCAGCAAATTTGGACATGTACTGCAGAGTTGCATTCTGCCACATTTTTACATATTATGTAATAAAGCAGTTTATTTTCAGGTACTTTTGTTGTGTATATTTGCATTGTGTGTATTTCCATAGCTCTTAGTTTTGCTATGAAAACGTGTTTTGTCAGTGCTTTTGAAATGCTCCTCAATAGATTTAGAGGTATGATCCTCCTGTATCAATCTGTTTGAAGTTCGTGCTGCTGCCAGTATATTATCTACAGATTCATATTAAAAGGTGTATAATATATTAAAAATCATTAAATATTTTGGAAATAGGTCATTAATGTAATAGAAACCTAGATTGACAAATTATTATAAATATTATATAGAGTTTTAGTAAGTACCTACATTTGTTTTCCAACTTCTTATATTGACTGATATTTAGTTTGTGCACCTGAGAAATTTCAAAGTAAACATATATTCAAAAATTGACAACTAAATGAACATTTTGTTAAAAATTTCACAATAAATAAACAAACAAACAAACGTGATATGCTGCTTTGCCACCAAGTGGAATGGCCGCACTAAACTGAAGACCACTTTACTTCTGAATTTCTGTACACTTTTTATCTTATTGGACAATTTTTAATAAATGCAGTATGCAGAGGCCTTCATTTAAAAATGTTTAAGATTCTTCCAAGCTTCACTTTATTAGAAAATTATCGACAAAAGTGAAATAAATCATTCTGATGTGAGACTTACAATTTATATTTTGAATTGGCTTGGTTGCCATTGCTTGTTATGGTGTCTCTTTGTTCTACTGTTCAAAAGACTGTGGGGACACTTTAACCCTTTCACTGCTGAAGCCATCTCCAGATGATAAGCGCTCTCTCTGTGTTATTGTTCTTTGCCATCAATTTGCATTCTAGCATTTTCTTATGGAACTGCACAGCTTCCAGCAGCATGGTTGAAGCAGGGAAAGGGTTAATAGATGGGGTACACCATCCTGTTTTACATTCGTGCTTGGTTCTGATTGAGGCAGCAACACTGGAATCACTATGGAATAATGATGGAATATGACTTTTATGCTGCAGTCATATATTGAAATACATTTGAATCTAGATAATATTGTGCTTTGTGTGTGAGATATGTATGCACGTACATTTTTTGGGTGTTGTTTTTGCTGATTCAATGCCCTAAAGGCTGGGTAATGAATGTAGTATTTGATTGTGCTTTGTGTCACTGTAGAATGATATAATTTTTGTGTGCTTCTGAAGCTCTGCCTCTTCTGAAAAGAGCAATGCAGGGTTTTCAAGAATTCACATGACAGTTCCATGATTATTGAATTTGGAACATCAGAAAATTAAAATTAATGGAGTATTCCAATTGGTTCATCACATTTTGTAGTTACTATTGTGATATTAAAATATAAAAAATTTAATCTGATTTCTGTAACTATTAGCTGCTTTTTGTACTTCCAATTGAAAGGCTAAAATAAACAAGATAGTTTTTCATAATTGATATTGAAACCTGAAAAGGTAAAGTGTTTAAAGAATGTTCAGTGGAATCATTTGATTGAGAAAGATTGAAAAATAAGGCAGTTTTTAATTATAAATAATTGTTTCCGATAATATTCTGACTTGTTTTAATTATTTATTTTATTGCGATCAAATAATATTCTGTTTTTTGTTAACTTGAAATCTTGTTAGATTTAGTTTTGGAGTATAAAAGAAGGATTTGTTAAATCTGAGAGAGAAAAAAAAGTTAAAATATGACACTTCTCCCAGTTTTTACAATTTTGTTGGAAGCAAATGATAGTGGAATCAATGGCAGAGAATTGCTTATGATTAATATTGTAGTACATGAACCACTTGCTTCATTGAATAAAATTGTCAGAACTTTTTGAGTTAATTCTTATTTCAAGAATTGTTAATAAAAAATAAAAGACCTCTTGTTGAGGGAGGCAAGGAATCTAAAATAATAGATATTTCCTGAGACAGCACACCACAAACAGCAGCTCTATGTGCATTGTTGAATCCCTGCAGTGTGGTATTGGGGCGTGCTGGCCCCAAGTTGTGTTGGTTTGTCCCAGGGGCGAGCCTCGAGGCAGCAGCGGCAGGCTCAGCCGTGCTCGTGCATCGGCTTGGCACCCCTGCTTGCCTTCCTTAGCTGTTGTAAGTCCCTAGAGTCGCTCATATAAGGTACGACTCGGCCTAGCGGTGATGGGACGCAGTGGTGCTGGAAGCTAACCGTGCGTGTACATAGAAAATGCATGGTGGGCACTCTGCGAGTCTCTTTCTGTGTCTCAGATGGTGTGCAGACTGTTTAACTCTTCTAATGTTATGATTCTCTCTCATTTTTCATACCATTGATTCTCATCCTTTGGGTAATTGGCTTTTCAAGGTTGGTTTCTTTGGTTTGAAATGTGAAAAATTATTTCAGAATCAAGAAGTATTTGTTTAGTCTTCAACAGGCTATCCATTAAGAAAGAAAGCTATAAAGAGAATTAATAACAGCTTTGAATATAAAGAAAAATACACTTCTAAATGTAATTAAGTAGGTGGACACTAATGTTTGTCGTAAGAACCATGATCTAGTTTCAAATTTCTGTTAACACAAGCTATTAAATGAATTTCTTGCATAAAAATTAATAATTTCATTGGACATTTAATTTTTCGTTTAATATTTTACTATACTTCCTTTAGTTTATTTTTCTGAAACAAAGATCAGTCACCAGCATTGTTCTGATTAAGTCAAGCTAATATTATTCATTCAGTGGCTAATTATTATTCATGATGCTTTACTTTTTAATATTAAATGTAAATTGTATCATCTGTTTATCTGTCTCGAAGATCTGTTCTTTCTATTCATGCTTGTGTCCCTACTTTCATGATGTTCATCTGTGTATTATAAAGGGATGATAAATATGCTCTCTCATAATTTGTGAATTGTCGAGTTGGATATGTGAGACACCCTTTTGCAGGTGGCTGAGAGGAAGAACCAACATGCCGCTCCAGTGCTGCAGCGGATCAACCGCTTTCCCTTGGAAGGGGCGCCGATGGTCTACCCTCCACCCTCCCTGCTGTCTGCACCTGCGGCACCTTGTTTCACTTGTTTTGTGCCGGTGACTTCGGCCCCAGGCCGATACCCTCCACAACCACAACCGTACTGCTGTGTGGGGCATGGTATGCGCGGGTTGCGCATAGACGATTCAGCACGACACTGCTCCAACAGTAGTAGTGCCGCATCAGACAGCTCGAGTGCCAGTCACTCTCCTCCAGACACACCATCAATGCCCACCACTCCTCAGTGGGAGAGAGGTACTATTTTTCTCTTACGATAATCTCATTTTCTGTTTTGGGAGGAAAGAAACTAATTTTTGCCCTAGTGAAATTGAATGGAGGAAGGAAAAAAAAGCATATCAGAAACATTGTCCTGCTTTAGCAAGACACTTTTAAAATAACATTTTTAATTTGAAATTATAATGGATGACAATTTTCTAAACATTTTTTTTGGAAAACAATTTTTTTTTTTTGTTAATGCCTTTTATTTCTGTTCATGGCATTGTAATATTAACTGATATCTTGAAAAAATTGCTCTAAAATTGGATATTTTTGCATGTGAAATATTAGTTTATTTTTTCAGATGTGTATTGAACATTTTGATTAATTTTATTATCTGATTGACTTTGTACAGAAAAGTACAATAATGTTTGCATGTATTTTTAAACATGTAATTAAATGAATTTTTTTTATTGTGTAAATATGCCCAAGTTGTATAGAAAAGAAAGAGTAGTTTTGGTGAATATATTATTTTACAGAATCACAACATGTATTTTTAAATAAGGAAACCAAACAAACTGGCTATAATAATCAGTAGTTTTCACTCCCTATACTTTTGTGGAAACAAAATATCTTTTTTTGACTGAGTTTACTTGTGCAAAATTTTATTCTGATTATATAATTTAAAATATTCAGTTTTTATCTTATGATGAATGTTTATTTTGAGATTCAACTAGCTTTTTCCATCCCTTATAAAAGTTAAAATGACACACATGAAATCTATTTTGCTGTGTAATACATGATAACTATATGGATCTTGTCCTCTTTCTTTGGCAGTCTACCCTGGAAAGGAAATTAACTTAGGTGAAAGGTGGAGCCCTGGATGTGAAGATCACACTGAGAAAGATAGGAGATTAACAGAGCCCACTGAGAAACCAGGAGGAGAAGAAACGAACAGTGGGGCCCCACCTTCACAACCACCTGGAGTACACGCTACCAATATCAGCGTTACCTCCTCAACTACTGCTAATAACAACAACACCACTACCAGCAGCAATAATAACAGTAGCAGCAGTAGTAGTAGTACCAATAGCAATAGCAATAACCGGCCAAGGGTCCCTGGTCTTGGAAGAGGTAAACCCACTCCACCTGGACTCCAATTACCAAGAGGAAGGGGTCCAAATCCTACAACGGTTATCCTTGAGGGCAACCACAAGACACTGCCTAGCTGTCGAAGGGAAGGTCCTACAATGAACGGTGCCCAGCCTCCCCCACGTACATCTCATCCTCCACCCACACCCCCTCATGACGATCGGAAAATGTACTTTGTACCTTCTGATATGGCGCATACTTACTCCACTGTAAATTCTACCAGTCAGCCACCACCCCCACAATACTCAGGAGGAACTTGTGGGAACAACCCTCAGCATCGGCCGGCGGACATGTCTGGCGGTAGCAGCAACGTGCCTTACTCCCCAGCCACTGCTGCTGCTTTCCTTCCCCACACCCACTTCAATGCCCTGAGGTCAACAGGGTCCCTTTTCCCCAGCTTTGCTCACAGCAGCTACATGAGGCCCTTTCCCTTTTCTCCTAATGGTGAATTAGTGTACCAGTACCATGGACCTCAGACACCACCACCTCCCCCACCAACGGCATTCATACCAACACCAATGGTGGCAGCATTTTCACCTGTCGTTCCTCCGCCCAAGGTGTCCTGCTACAACTGTGGCAGTCAAAGTCATCATGCCAGTGACTGCAAAGACCCAACAATGGAGGAAATGACAAAGCCAGGTGAGAGTGAAGTTTTATTTCAGTACAACCATATTTCGTTTTTAATACAATTTTGTGTATTTTTGAAAAGTGTATGGAATATCTTTCATTTTTCCTTCAAAGCGTATGGACCATACCAAAGTAAATTATTTTACTTTTTGATATTGTACCAGGGCAACCAATCACATTTAAAAGAATGTTACAAATATTTATTTTCACAATGTAAGGAAACTCCTGTTCTGTATTATTTCACATCTCTGAAATAATTAGAAGTAATTATGTACAAGGATTTGTAGTGCTGTTAATTCAGATTGTTTACTTTTATAAATGTCATTTACAAAACAATGTTGTATATTTAGTGGAATGTTGACTTTGGTTTGATAGATTGAGTGTGAGAATTTTGGAGCCAGCAACCTGAATTTTTCAGTATTTAGGGTTGTCAGTAGTGCAAATTGTGACTGGTGGTCTATAATTTTGCAGGCCAGTACCGGATAGATTACGTTCCATACCAGAAACCAGGTGAATGCTCGTCAGAGAAGTGACCTCAGCAGCTGCCTTACCAGAAGCTCGTTCCAGTGTTTCCTGCACCTGGACCGTGTCTGGTGAGCAATGAGCCACGCCATTTCCGTTCATATGTTTATTGGAAACTGCTTCACACGGCGGCTAAAGGACGCTCTCAAGAATTGTCGTGATCCTCAAAAGTGAGGTGCTGATTACATATTCTTATTCTAGTACTTTTGATTTACTGCTTCTTATTTATTCTCAGACTATGCAAAGTTTGTTTTATGAAGACTTGTATCTGGTACATTTCCGGTGTTCATGCCAGCAAGCACGAGAGAGCTGTGTCTTTTTAAAGTTATAAAAATATATTAATATATACATAAATATATAAATATATATAAACAATAATGTACAAATTTGTGTAAATGTAATGTATCAATAGTGTGTATGATTTACAGTTGAGTTTTCTCAGTGCAAATTGAAGCTGTGTGCATCTACCGACCAAACTAACAAAAGAAAAATAACTGTGTGTCCAGAGGTCAGCGTAGTGTTCCTTTGTACGATACTGGTACTCTGTGCGTGGATGTTTTCATTTTGCCTATAGGACCTTTTGTACAGGCTCTGGCAAAGTTTTGAGTGCCTCGCCCAAGAACCATTGTTGAATTTTTTTGTAAATGCTGCTAGTGGGAAATGATAAGCATTCTTTTTCCTTCAGTTTTTTATAGCTGTCAGTTTATATGTATTTTTTGTGTTTTACTAGCTTAACAGAAGTTTGCTTATGTGTGATATGAGATGAATGAGCAATATTTCGCTTTATCTTAACTTGACTGGAACTCTTGTATAATAGTATTGTGTTTCGAATTACTTTTGTATATTATTTCCTTGAACTCAGCTGTTGTGATCTTCTCATTTCACCACTACAGCAACAGCTGTTTATGCTATGTCAAAAGTAGTCCTTCATCTATGAAAGGACTCAAAAACTCTAAAGCAGCTTTGCCAACAATCATAGGTTACATGTAGCTCATCCTTGTAGCAAAGCAGTTTGCAATGCTTGCTCACTGTAAACTTGAAAGTTGTACTAATCCTTCATTGTGGTGATTCATTCTGAAGAAGCACAAAATTTTAAATACATTTTAATTCGAGTGAACTTTATATTTGAATGCATATCAATTAAATTTTGACCATTGCAACCTTTATACAAATTTTTTAGGACTTAATGGAGGACATTGATACATATAGTGATTTTGTTGGTATATTCTGATGATTTAAAAATTTATTAGGTACAAATTTTGGTTGATTTGTATTGAGCTATGGAATGTGCAAGAATGTTTTGTATGTGCTGGACCATTGAATCTTTAAAAAAAGAAAATAAAAATGGAATGGTCTTATCAAAATGAATGCTTCCAAACCATTAGGAGCAATCAACTCACCATATTGTTATCTGGATACCCGTGTAATGGGCTGCTTGAAGCCCTCAGTCAGTGTTTGTACATATATAAAAATGTTAAAAAACAAAAACAAAATTAGATTAAGAATGTTTTTAAATACATGTGATGTGTATATATTATATAATTATTATATGCAGTTAAGTCAAAAATTGAAATATATTTGTAAATTAAGTTGTAATGAGTGAAATCATTTTACCTTTATGTATTAAAAATATTGAAATAAATAATCTCAAAAACTGCCAATCTGCTTGCTTTTGTATTATTTGAAATTAATTTTTGGGTTACCAAAATTTTTTGAAGTAATGGGTGTTCCTAAGGGTATCGTTGAGTTAGCAAACCCTCCAAAAGTTGACTTTGCTTTGGGGGCATCCTGTGACAGGGTCGCGCTGTCCAGGGGATCCTTTTCTCGTTTGGCACGCTGCGTGGCGTGGCCAGCGCTCGTAATAGCACGCGCAGATGAACTTACATCGTGAAAAGATCACGTGAAGTGACGCAAGTCTGAACGATGACGATGTGAGCCAGAAATGGCATCGGGCTGTGATGTCAGGCCGGGGGAGCTCTCCACGAATGCATGCGCAGCGATGCTCGACCGTTTCGCATGCACATATGCAATTCCGTGGAGGTCGAGCAAAGCTTCCACGCGAATCTTGAGAGAAATTATCTTCCCAAGGCCTTCTGCCATAACAATTTGACAAGCCTTGTCAATGTTTCTCAGGTTTATGGCATTTCTGGGAACTTGTTATTGTGGAAGATCTGAAGGACCCTTGAGACATGGGCGTCGGCATGTACACGTGCGAGAGAGAGAGAAAAAAAAGCAGAAATGTCAGAAAATAAATTAAAATTTGCAAGATGGAGGATTGAGCTTTGGGAATCACAATTAGTGATTTAAGTACTTTCGATTTTGAGAACTGTATTGTTACATACGTTTATACATTATCATGTCTTCGTTAAAATGATAACGTGTTAGGACGGCTCTCGCAGGACATTTAAATATCTCACAATTGTGTATACAATCGTCAAAATCTCTTAAACATTGACAACTACAGGAAATACAATGCTCATATATTCCAGATTACTTTTAAGGTTAGGTACGTAACTGCGACCACTATACATACAGTAATACTTCCATCACTACGCCGCTCTCAGGCCGCGCTGCCCCTAATCAAAATCTGGCGTTCGGGTATTAAATACTAACCGATACGAACCTATCGAGTTAATAGCGGACGATTGCAGAAAATGGAGGTTCTGAAACCAGAATTGATGTGGATTGAAGGAAGATGTTACAGAATTAATCACTGTATTGACAGATCGTCAGATGCTGCGTATGTTGAAGAGGAATATCAGCCTGATTGTACGTAACCAAAGTGAGGTTATTTTATTCTTATGTGTACGCATGTATTATTTTTAAGAATCTTGATTCCAGATTTAGACTGTGATAACGATGAACCATGCGAAGATTTCGAAGTCGAATCGTTGGAAGGAGGGAGATTTAAAACCTCTTTTCACATTGCCCGGTGAGTTATGGATGTTCCCCAATTTCCTTTTTAGTATAATTGATAAGAAAAAGTTTATACTTTGCGAAACCAAGATAGTAGGGTTACCATGTTTCTATTTTGAAAAAAGTGGTCAATTCTTGTGAAAGAAGAAGACTCTTTTTATAAAATGTTTTCATATAATAATGTATTTTTCGTATAGACGAAATACATACTTCAATCATCACTTTCACAATCGCAACATATGTCTACTTCATTATCATTTTGTCATCATGTCTTTTCCACTTGGATTCCAAAAGTATTTAATGGATGATGAAATCTTCGTCAACAATTAAAACTTTGCTTTGAAGTTTTTTTTTCGGTATATCATTAAACAGGGTGTTTCTTTTTTCCATTCTGCTCGATGTACAAACACCCCAGAACAGTATTAACCAAGAGCTAGAATATATTTGTATGCTAGTATATTCTGGCTTGCTGGCAAAAACTTGGAGCCCAGAACCTGTAACCAGCACCAGCATACAATACGTTGTACAATATATTGAACCAGCTGATGGCAACTGTCGCATTCCATGGTGTAAATGATGTAAATGTAGATATAGTATAGTTCATCTAAGGATTTTGGCAGGATCTAAGGATTTTGGTGAGAAAGTTGAAGTTAAATATCATTTAGTTATACATTTTACAACATCAACACCTTTATTGTTATAAAGTTGGGGATTCCAAAATGTTGAAAAAAAGCAGTATTATTTTTACAACATATGTCTATATTGCCTTTAAAAGTAATACCCTCCTTTCCAATAAAAAAAATGACATTTTGTCCTCTCTTGTAAAATCCACCCAGGCAGTATTTCTTACTTTAAAAAATAGGATGTACGGTAACCTTAAAAGATGGTGAATAGGATTGCTGAAGTCATGTTGATTGTGAGTCTACCTAACTAAGAGATTTGGAAGTTTTCTGTAACTATATTTATTGCCATTGCGTTGGAGGAATACTTATTGCATAATATGCAATGCATTTAAAAAAACATTTAAATTCCCTGGCAAGGAAAAAAAGAACCAAAGTTATGTCTTTTTTTTCGTGTCATGTCAAGAGCACACCTTTACAATTTAAATAATGAGGGAAAAAAGTAAGACTGAGTTGAATTTAGGAATCACAATATCATATACCATTGTCTTTCACTAGGTCCCTTGAAATATAGCTTTGTTTGAAGGATTATGTAACATTTTCTATGTACCAATGGCCTCATTTTTATATTTTTGAAAAATACACATACTCTGTCGCTGCTTACTCAAGAAATTTTTGTTGTTGTTGATTTTGTAGAAATAAATTACTTATTAAGTGATTATTCTACCCTTTTACAAGATTCTATTTTCAAATATTGTGAATATTTTAGTAATCTAAGTTATTCTTTGTTAAATTGATAACAATTTAAAAGGATGATTTAGGTTTAAATGCAATTGGAAGAAAATTAGGGAAATGAGGTTTTAATTAGGGTTATCAGATTAGATAAAACTACATGTCAAGCTTGCGAGGAAAGAGACAGTGTATGTGTTTCTACATTTTATGATTTGTATCTTTTTTTATTTTATTTGTTTGTAATGTTTTTATAGTGCTAGAAAGTAATATATTTTTTGTACCTCATTCTGTATCTTTCCTGTATTGTGAATTGATTTAGTTTACATTGTGAGATGTTTGAGGATATATTTATCCCATCATCAGACTGGAACAACACATTTTACTTCAATAATGTACAATTCTGTTTAATAACGACAAATACATTAGGTAGTTTTCAACACAAAAAGACCTGAACTTCATCTTATTGTTAAATTTTGCTTTAATTCAAACACTATGAATGAAATAAAATTTAATAAAACAAAACATTTCCATATTCTAAAAGTTATAATTCAAAGCACAAGACAAACCACAGACCCTGATGGCTTGGCGGATTGACTGTTGGCATGATGTCCCCACTGTGATAAGAAGGAGAATATTACTGTAACGGTCAAAAGGAAATAATAATTTTTTTAATTTAAAATGGATAGGCAACTGAACAGAAAAATAAAAATAATTTGAACCCAAACCAATACGGAGACAATTATATATTTATAATTACACAATAAACTATCATAAAGCCTAGTGAAATTATTTCACTCAATTTGAGAGTTGTGACAGTTGATAGTTTTTGTGAATAAAGTTTGGATCCCTTCTATTCTATTTTTTCACTAATATCTTAGTATTTATAAAATCTACGTATTTTATGGACAGTACTAATTCTATGGATAGTCAGTTGTTTACTAACTACTTCATTTATGTTTCTTTTATGCTCCACCAGTCGTAATTTCACACTTTCTCATTGTGCTAAGTACGATTCTCAACATTCAGCACATCACATTTTGTGTACTAGTCCTTGTTCTGTTTAATACCTTTCAGATTTGTAATTATATTTATTTGATTTTACCTTGAAATTAATATTTCAGAATAAGTATATGAATATTTTTGAGTATATGAATATTAATATATTACTATCTTAAAATATATTAGAAATATGTGAAATGAATTCTAAGCCTGTTAAGTAAATAATGGCCTCAAAGTTTTATAGTAAATGAGAGTGATTGACAATACAATTAAGTAACTTTAACTTTCATTATAGGATTTCCTCAGATTTCAAATTATCAAAAATCATCAATGATGAAGCCATTGTGAAATATACAACTTTCATTACTTTTTACTTTCTCGTATACGTACATATACGTATACGGAGAAACATACGTAGTATATGGAAAGTTATGTAATGCTGCGGAAAATCGATTTCGGAATTTCAACGGAAATCATCGTTTTGGGGTCCCCTGATACCGTAAAAGTGTTGTTTTTTAAAAAAGTTATTTTCTTTTCAAAACGTCCGTCTGTCTGGTGTATGTGAACAACACTAGCGCCTAAACCATGCGTAGGATTTATTCCAAATTGAATTCCTGTCCATTTGGCCTGAGTTGAAGCTCTGCGATTTCGGAAATCGTTGTTTAGTTTTTGGGGGTACTTTACATTAATGCACTGGGACATCTTCAAAAGTTTCTCAAAAACCTCTCCAAATTTTTTCTTTAAATTTCTTGTAAGAATAGAGCAAAATACACAAATACACTTATAAATGTGGTATAGGTCCGTTTTTTCAGGTTGACTCTGAATTTTCGAAAATTTCAAAAGTTTGAATGTTTTGGGCTTCTTCCTACAACTACAAAATGGAAGGTAGAGATTTTCTTTCAAATAAAATTTGTTGCCCATAATTTTTTCTTTCATTACGGTCAAGTACATTAAAAAATAGTTTTCGCACAATATTTGCGTTCAACTTGTATAATTTCAAAAATTACAAAAACAAGATTTTCTCAAAAACGGCTCTAAATGTTTTCTTTAAACTTTTGGTATGGATTAGATTGCAAGTAAATTTATATCGTTCGCTGCAAAATCTGATCGATCGAGAGAAATCAATTTTAGAGAAATTCGACTGAACGGTTTAGGCGCTTGCATTGCTCGTGGACGGACGGGGAGAGAGATAGTTTTGCTGTAAAATCCATTCTGTATCAAGGACCCACAAAACAAGGATTCTGGCTACACCACGTGTTAGAGGAAGTAATTTACTGTAAGTGACAACAGGATGTATCCACTTTCTCATAGCGAGGACTCGACAATAAAAGCTTTTCTGCCGAAAATTCTCCGTTTTGAGGTGCACAATTACCAAAGTTTCTCATCTTATTGTTATTGCGAGTAAGTAAAATTACTAGAATTCTTGAATTTTAAAGTAGAAAATATTAACTAAAAGTTGATTGTAAATTTTCAGTATTTTATTTTACGCGTAATAGGTTTACCATCCGTTTACACTTTCCCGCGATTTAGTTTTTTAATGGGTCCTTGAAAAGTGTAAAAGAGGGGTTCTACTGTACTTCAAAAATATATATTAAAGAACGAACAATTTTTTCCATATCTTGTTCATATTATTTGTCTTTTTTCTGAAAGACATGTGTGAAATTATTTGCTTTATAATTTTGTGTGCTGTATATTACAGGGGGAAAAAATTATGGGATGTCGATAACCCAAACGATTCTTTTCAAAGAAGTTGATGCACGGAAAATGTTGGCATCTATATCAATAATTTCCACCTGTAGAAATTGAAAGAAAACTATGCAGCCTCTGGGCAAGTTACAGGTATCTATTATTTGTTTAGATACCCAGGAAGTCGGGAAATATCCAGAGAAACAGTGAAACAGTTTTGATATTGACTGAAAAATGCAAATATTTGATTGTGTTATTCAATCTATTCTAATGCTGTGTATGTATACAGACTGAATTCTCTTATAAAAATTACATCATGTGATAGCAAGGCTCTGAGGAAGATGGCCCCTGCCATTAAACATTTTTTATTTATGTTGTGTTATGGAACAGTAGCATATTGCATATTCTTGATATGCAAGAACCGTTATATGATATAAATAAACAATATTATGTTATTGCAGTATTCTATTTTTGTTCAAATATTTAAACAGTATCATACAAAAGTTGTTTATTCATTGTCCTTGCACAGTGTGCATAGTGTTCTGAAAAATCATTAGAAAATTGGAAAATCATAGATTTTCATGGGATTACTAGTGTTTTGGTGTGAAAACCTGATGGAAAGAATGTGTACAGGGTTTTATTTAATTTACTTTTGAGAAACTTTGACTATTCTTCCAAAATCAAAGAAAATTGAATCTAGGAAATGATTATATTGAAATACTACTTATTTTAACAATGAAGACTTATTGTATGGAAATCTAATTGGATGTAAAAATGCTTTGATAATATATGGACTGAGAGACCTAAATTTATAATACCAGAATACTGTAGGTAAAAATTGCAAGGACACAGGAGTTCTGATAAGGATGCTGTTACATGTTCATCATGTAAAAGATATCTGTAAGAGCACCTGCAATTTTTGCTCTTTTTAAAATACACTTAAAAAAGTTCCTTTTAGTTCCTCAAAATCTATTGCATTGACACTGATGCAAAACATATTTTTCTCAATAAAGTTTTCTTTCTTTTAAAACTACTTATTGCTGCCCTCTGCCAGTTTTAATTATTACTAAATACTACACATTTTAATGTAGTATTTAGTAATATGTAATTGATGTAAAAGTTAAAGTCTTTTAATGATTATGTAAACTAGTGATGGTACAGAATGGCACTGACTTTCTTGTATTGGGTTTTTGTTTTCTTGGGTCTGCGCTAGCTATGTGGATATGCCACATTCTCTTGCCCGCTGCCATTTGTCACCATCCTAAGTTTGTTTTCTTGAAATTTGCTCATTTATCCTCAAAATTCTTTATAGAAGAACCAAAATATTACTTTAAGATTATTAAAATAAGAGTAAAACTTCATCCTAAATGACAATTTTCATTGAAAAATTGGGGTTGTTTTTAAGAAAATGATATTTAAGCATTACTGTAAATGCAAAATTTGAAGTACTTTTACACAGAAAACATCAAAAAATCATTCGAAGTCATTTAAGACATTTCCAGTTGCAAATGCAATAATGTATACAATTTGCTGGAAATATGCATATTGACAACATAGATAGAGCTATTTCAAAAATATTACATTTGTGAATTTTTTTAATAAAAAGAATGGAATACAGCAAAATTAATTCCAGTCTTAAACAGTGCAATTAACACTCTCTATACTAAAAGTTTGAAGAAAAAAATTGGAGCCGTTTTTGAAAAAATGGTGTTCGAACATTTCTTAAAATGCGGAAATTGCTCGTTTTCACAGAAAACTGTTGAGTCTTCGAAAACCTTTAACAAAACATCATCTAAAGCACATGTACTCAAATATAATAATGTAAACAAACACTGTTAATGTAAATATTAACAACGTGAGAGACAGCTGAATAAAATTACAATTTTGTAATTTTTGAAAAAACAAAAGAATAGAGCAACATTGTGTTTCTGTCATCTTATAGAGTACATTTAGTACCATTCTTACCAAAAGTTTAAAAAAATATTTGGAGCCGTTTTTGAGAAAATCTTGTTTTTGTTATTTTTTAAAATTACACATATTGCACGAAACATACCAAAATTTTCAAAAATGTCTTCATGACAATGGAAGATCTAACAATGGAGAAAAAATTAAACTTGAAGGAATAATAACATGATCTTCAATTATGTCGTAGGAAGACGCCGGAAAAACTTCAGACTTTTGAAATTAAAAAAAAAAAAAATCGAAGTTAACTGAGAAAAACGGATCTAAACCATCTTTATATAAGTGAATTTTACTTCATTCTTTCAAAAGATTTAAAGAAAAAAATTTTGAACTGTTTTTGAGAAAGTTGAAAATGTCGCAGGGGCTTCATATAAAGTACACCAAATTTTAAAGAAAGTTTTTCAAAATCGCAGCCCCTTGAGTGGAGCCAGATCGACCAGGGAATATCCATTTTGGAAAAAGTTCTGTGTATGGTTCAGGTGCTAGCGGTGTTCACATACGGACTGACGTTTTGGACGGAGAAAAACAAACCCTCAGTAACGTAACTTTCTATAAACTACGTATGTTACTCCGTATATACGTACGTATACAAGAAATGAACTAGTGGTGCTACAACAGCAAATTCTTTCTCGCAATATTACAATGTTATCGTTATGTTCGACGGGATGCCCATATATGCTTCATTGATTTCAAACAAACTTTTACAAAAACATAGTACATGTCCTGTTTTAAAGAGCTAAATTTGTACAACAAACTATTTGAGAGGCAAAAATCTCTATTTGCAATTTTGTAGTTTTGAATGTTATTTCCAATTTTCGAAAAGGACTAGTAATACCCGAAAATGAGTCTAGCGTCATATTTCTTACCACATTTGTTTTGTGAAGAGCTAATTTTGTACAACAGACTTCGCGTCAAAAATCTTTATTTTTAATTTTGTAATTAATTTTTTTTTGCAATTTCCGGAAATGGAACTAGCATTATGTTTTTTACCGTCTCTTATTAAATAAATGTATAAAATTTAAAGAAAAAATGTAGAGTGGTTTATGAGAAAAAAATTGCTATTATTTCAAGCGCAAAATATGCAAATACTACCCATATTTTCAAAAAATTGTACATGGCCTTTTTAAAAGAGCTTATTTTGTACAACAGACGTTGGGACAAAAACCTCCACCTTTAATTTTTAAGTTTTACATTTTTTTCATTGCAATTTTTGAAAAATCGGGAACTAAAGAAGATGAAACTTGCACAGTTCTTTTAAACGTCTTTCGCATTATTCATTAACAAAATTTAATAAAAAAAATTGGAACCATTTTTTTTTAAATTTTGAAAAAGTCTGGGGAGGTTCGTGTAAACCCCAAATTTAAAATATCGGTTTCAAATTCCAGGGATCGCGACATCAGCCAGAACAATTGAAGAATATCAGTTTTGGAGAAAATCGGCTAAACTTTTTTTGCGGTAGCGTCGTACTTGGACGGATGGAAGACAGACGCACAGACGTTTTGCTGTCAATCAATTTAGATGATTTGTTTCTTTATTTGGCAACTGGATTTATCCACTTTTTCGTTACCAGGGCCCAGTGATCAGAGTTTTTGTGCCGAAAATTCGCCGTTTTACGGCGCACGATTACAATACTTTCTCTTCTTATGTTACTACGTGCGAGAAAGTAAAAACTGAGAAATATACTGATAATGCTTATTTAAAATCAGGAAAACTTTCATTACATTGTTAAGTTCAGTTTTCTACTTTACTGTATAGAAACGCTTTCATGAGTACTAGTTCTTTCATTGTTTGAAGGCCGAAGGAAATAGTGTTAAAAGAATTTCAGTTAGGAATGTATGGACTTTATATTAATGTTTTATAAGGAAAGTGGAAATTAAGATTTCTCTCCTTAGATGTTCTCTATCTTCAGATAAATACTTATTAAATTTGATTACACTTTGATTGATTTTCCTCACATTTAAAATAAAGGAAAATAAATATTGCTCTAAATAATCTAAATATTGGCTAAAACCTATGGTCAATAAAGAGTTATTTCCTTCATGTTATTCACTGTAGTGATAATTTTTGCAGGGCATACTTTCCATGTATTATTGGAAGTAAAGGGAATACCAGACGTCGTCTTGAAAATGAAACAAAAACTCAAGTGAAAGTGCCCAAACCAGGGCAAGACGGTGACATAGGTAAGAGGTTTTGCTCAATATATTGTCCAGAAGAAATTTTGATTAAGCTTCTTTTTAAATTTTATAGTGATTTGGAAAATTTTGTTACAATCTACTATTTAAATTTTCAGTTGTAATTGGAAATGATAGAAGAAGTGTGTGTGCTGCACGTCGCCGAATTAATATTATTGTTATGTCTTCTAGACAGAAACAGTCATTCACCCACTTTCTGTCAATTCCAGTAAACAGCAGGGCTATTCAGCAAGGATTTCTTGAGTTTAAGGTACTGCAGTTTGTGTGTCTATGACATGTCCAGAAAAACATTTTAATTAAAATTATTTAAATTTTCTTAAATAAAGTAAGAGTAATTACTGTCAATGAGTGCTTTTTAACTTACACTTTCACTTACTAATTATTGTGGCAAATATATTGTGATCCAGAATAATTTACTAAAACAATGTAATTTGGTTCTTGTGCCTTCAAGACAAAAATATACTTCGATACAATTACAACTTGGCATGTCAAAATACTTTATGAACTTAGTTACGCAACAAAAGACATTTATGGAGAACACTGGACAGTGGAGAAATGTATAGTATTCAGTGGATCTAGTCAGCACATCAATGAAAGTCACCCTTTCCTGAATTATTAAGTTTCTCTTGAAGTTTAAAATAAAAAGAGACTATGGATTATCTTTGTGCAGTGTTAGGGTGGTCATTGTCTCAGAATTTTTTATATTTTATTATTTTCAGTTCCACCTTTGTCTACGAAGCCTTTAAGATTGTAGTTCTTTGTGTGACATACATGTTATAATGTTTATTGTGAGATATTTTTTATGCTTGGTGTCCAGCTCATCTAAGAGAGAGAGAAAGAAAATTCGGATACAACAGAATTTTCCTGGGTAATCATTGTAACATCAAACCAATAAGCAGAAATAGGATTTTTTTAAAATTATTGCAGACATTTCAGAAGTAATAGAAACCTGTTTGAGGGTTGAAATTAAAATATTCAAAGAAGTTTTTTGTCAGGTAGCCTATTTAGTTTACTTTATCAAGTGTTCTTCATGCAAAATACAGAATCTAATATTCTCTTTGGATACCATTTGACCTGTTAGTGAGTTGCCGGTTAATTATTGGGTGAAACATTCTGAAACACCAAGCATTTAATGTCAGATAAACTTGAAATTATAAAGTAATATTTTTTGGATTCTAATTATAAGTTGAGATACACATCATCCTTTTTTTTTGTCTTGCTTTTTCTGCTATACTACAGTCTTATCATCTTTCCCACTGACCTTCGGTCTTAAATCTCCCATGAATTAGTATTCTATGAAATGGAAAACATCAAAATATCCTTCATCTAAATATCCCAAAATATCCAGTACGAAACTTGCTCACATGAGATAGCTTCTTGTTTAACCCATCCTGTCTCCCCAACCATCATCTGGATGTGACTCAGGAACCCTTGTCGGACGAATTCTTAGTTCCAGTGTAGTTTGTGAAAATGTATGCTTGGATTGGTTTTAGCAGTAGGAAGCCAAATTGCTAATGTCACTGACCACATTAGAAATAAAATTAAATAATGAAAGGTGTTGTCTTGGCCAACATTATTTATTGCAGTAGTAGCTTTCAGTGCTTGAGCCATCATCATCATCATCATCATCATCATCATCATCATCATCATCATCAAATTTGCCTGACTTACTAAACACACGAAACAAATAGAAATCTACCGTCACCAAAGCACATACTTTCTCGCATTGTTTCTAAATGCTTGGCGATATTATACTACTACATAAACCAGCAAAAGTGTTTTCAACCACCAAATTTTTATTCTGCCCCGAGACCCGAACTCAGATCCTCACAGTTACCGTGCCGGCATTCATACTACTATGCCACACAAGCGCCCTAGGGGACAAACTTGGGCAGAGGCATAAAAAGGTAAATGCCGAATTCATGTTAAAAAATAAACAAACTTAGCAATCAAAATATCTGATAGAAACTCCAGAAGTCTCCAGTCCATTCCGTTCAATCAGGAATATGTTTGGGAAAAAATCGGCTGAACGGTTAAGGCGCTTCAGTTATCCACAGGCGCACTGAGATTGATTAATTGATTGATAGTGATTGCGGGGGCGTCAATTGCTAATATCAGTTGTCCCGTAAATGTAGTCAGAAGGTAGGTGATCCCCCCCCCCCTGGATGGCTGAATCCGGCACCGAACTACCGTCGACTAGTGGAGTTTTCCCAACCAGCTACCTCCCTGAGTAACATCGCTCCCTCCCAGCCGGGAAGAGATCTAAGCTCCCGGCATGTTTGGTGGTGTGGTTAAGTGTGTTTATAAGTAAAGGGTAGGACAGAACAAGGAACAGGAAGAAAATATCGCGCTGGTCCGTGGCCCTTTTGGTAGTGCCATGGAAAGGCTGCCGATCATAACAGCCAGCCACTAGAATTTTTCTCCACGCAGCGACAGAACTCGACCTATCTGGCTAATGTCGAAAATATTTCCATTGTCAGGACTCGAACCTTCGACTTTCCGGTCAGTGGCACTGCAATATCATTAGGTGCTGCCCTGAGTCACCTCTCCTGGCCGGCCATTAAGGAAATCTTAAGTCGGTTCCATGGTTAGTGTATATATTGTATTTAAATTTCATATCTATATTAATTTGTTTATTTAATCGGTTCATATTGATGCACAGAAATACAATTGATTTGACGTGACATACATTTTCAAGAATTTTCTGCGGCAACAGAGAATTGTGACAAATCATCCCCGAACGAGGCTCGAACCAGCGACTCTTCCCTCAGAAGAGCCGAGTCCGTACCCCCAATTAACCACCTCGGCCACACAGATGGGATATGGGATTTGTACTTCTATAATTTTAATATGAGAATGATGGTTTCAGTTCTATCGTTAGGCAGCCGAAAAATTGAGAAATAGTGAGAAAATGTCCCCTTGGTGACAAAAAAATTACAGCTGGGAAGAGAATCTGACAATCCAAAAGCTAGTCAAAACTAGAGAGATTCGAAAACTAATGCGAGAAAGTCTGTGTCATTCTACAGCACCACAAGTTTATATTAATGTATTTGCCGTACGGTATTACATACGAGGAGAAAATTTATTGAAAAAAATTCGTGCAGGTTTTGAGAATTTTTTTTTTATAAATTGCATAAATTTCAGACACGCATTAAGCGAAATTGAATCGTTTTTTTCAAAAAAGTGTACATAACCTTTTTTTAAAGAGCTGATTTTTTACAACATACTTTGTTTAAATCTAAAATCACAATCTCCAATTTTGTAGTTCTCAAATGTTCACTTTTTAGCATTTTCTAAAAAAACGGGCGATAGCCTAAAATGGGGCTAGCATACCACACATTTTTTTATTGTTCTTCATTACATAACAGGAGAATATTGGAGAAAAAATTTGGAGCGGTTTTTGAGGAAAAAAAATACCCATATTTCGCGTAAAATTACACGAAAATAACTCTGAAAGTTCTCATATTTTCGAAAAAATGGAACATGAACTCTTTTAAAGATTCGTCTTTAAGGAACAGATTTCCTTAAGGAAAAAAAATCTCTATCTTCAATGTTATAGTTTTACGAAGACGTCCTCCCCCCAAAACGTTGACTTTTATTTACCCCTAATTCCTCTATTTTTCTCCATATTAATTACACTGCCCTTCGCTTGCATTTTTATTATCACTTTATCAAATGCTTCTCTTATGTCCCTCATTGATGTGCTTATATTCTATACAAATTTGTTTACTTTCATATACACCTTGTAATAAATCATCACAATACCCAACCAGCCCGTGTTCCTGATATTCGGGTCTCTTCCACTGTGTGCTCGCAAGTAGATTCTGCACATAACCACTCGGCTACTGTGCATCCATTTTTTTTTCAATCATTCCATCTTGCACCAACCCCAATTTGAAAGAGTGTATAAAATATGGCATTGCTTCCCTCATACCAAGCATACAGTTTCATAGCGCATTTAGGAGTGGGCCTATTCTTGCAGAAAGACGTAAAACTATATTGTCGCATGCAAGCAAATAAAATTCTGGAGATAATTGCTGCAAATCTGGAGGGACTGAGAACATACTGTTTGCTGGTTAGATGGCTTAAGTTAGTTACACAGAGAAAATCTAGGAACCGAATGACGTGATCGCGCGTGATCTGTTCTTTCCTACCCCGTCGCATCCCCCATCCTTAGAACCGAGCTGATCTAGATCTATACTTCGATTTAAACAGTAAGTCATTTCAATGTCACGAACTGGCAGGAGAAGGGGACACTATCAGCCAATCGCGAGCTTCTTTACGACTTCAATTTTTGGCATTGAAGCTCTGGATTGAATGACAGTATCCTCGTCTCTTTTCAGCTGATAGCCTCGAAAGGACGGAAGTTTCAATCAAAGAATAGATATAAGTCTCCACGTAGTAGTCTCCTCAGAAGATAGGTCACTGGCAAAACTGTGAGCGCTGTTGCGCCATAAAAAGAAAGGAAACTGTAGATGCGACCAAATAAATAACCTATTGATTTGTGTTCTTAAGAAGTCACATGATTAATTTACTTAATGCTTTATTTTTAGGAAAAAGTTCTAGAAAATTGCAGAGGTCGTGGTTTAGACTCTTCAATTTTCCAGTCTCCTGAGAAACTTCATTTAACCCTAGGCACCATGGTGCTGGCTGACAATGAGGAGCGCAAAAGTGCAGCAGAAGTTTTGCATATGTGTCAAGAAGCAGTAATAGAGTAAGTTCCATTGTGCAACATAATTTACCTCGTACAGGGTGTCTACTCAACAGCTGTGCGATCGCGGCGCATCGTGCTCCCGATTCCCCGAGAACTGCCCGCGCGACGCTATTACGACGCACGCGCTCCCACTCAATCGCGCTGGCTAGTGGATCAGAGCAATGGCGCTCGAGAAGAATCTCTGGTTTTTGCGACAAAACGTCATAAAAAAACAGTTTTGAAGTGAGGCTTTCAGCCCTAAAGTGATGCAATGTGCCACCTGCACATTGTGATGTCAACCTGTTTTGTCCCTTGTTAACTTCTGATGGGCAAGAGGAAATACTGATAACACTGATCTACCAAAAAAATATACCTTTTTCTATAACATGAACAAAACATACTGTTTCTCGAATACAATTTGCATCTGGATCCAGATCTACTTTCAGAATTTTTGTATCTGCCTCAGTAATTTATAAAGAGAAGTAATTTATATATTAAAAAAACTGCCGCGCAATTCATCGCAAACGGAAGTACTGGCTCGCGGCCTAGAAGTTCCACCACCACCACCACCACCACCACCTGGACTAAATAAAACAGGTGTGTCTTATCACCTCCAACATCTCGACTTTCGACAACAGTTAACTTCTCAAATATCGATGCAACATTCGTGTGAAATTTCTAAAAACCTTTACTGATTGCTTAAAAAGGAATACATCAATACATTGATAATACAAATTGAGTAAAAAATAAAAGTAATATTGCCATTTCCAATAGTAAATATAAGTGAAATTAAATTATTTTTCATATCATTCATTCAATTTTTCTCGCGGGCCGTAGTTGGTGTCAAACCTGTATATATTTCTTTAATTTCAAGGAGAAATTTTGCAAAAAGTACCATACCATTTTATAAAAAATTGTACATACCCTTTTTTAAATAGCTTATTGTGTACCATAGAGTTTGGCCGGTGCAAACATCTCTATCTTCAATTTTGTAGTTTTGAAAGGTTTTTTGTAATTTTCGAAACAAACGAGCAATACCCGAAAATAAGGACTCGCACTATATTTTTTACCATTCCTTATTACATATGTGAAGAAAATTTTAAAAAAATAGGAGAGGTTTTTGAGATTTTTTTTTGTAAATTTCAATCTCAAAATACGCAAAAACTACTCGTGTTAAAAAAATTGTATATGACATTTTTTAAAGAGCTAATTTTATACTACAGACTTTGTTGAAGGCAAAAATCTCTATCTTCAATTTTGTAGTTTTAATTTTTTTTTATTTTCAAAAATCCGCTCGATACTCGAAAAATGGGTTTAGCACCGTATTCTTTACCGTTTTTTATTACATAAGTGAAGAAAATTTAAAGAAGAAATTTGGAGTGGATTTTGAGAGAAAAAATCGTACATTTCTATTGCAAATTACCCAAAATCTACTAGTTTTCCAAAAAAATTGTACATGACCTTTTTTAAAGAGTTTTCCTGTTATGAAGTTTTAATTTGTTTCTTCCAATTTTCGAAAAATGGCGGACGTGAAGGAAAATGAGACCTGAACCATTCTCTTAAACGTCCCTTTCGTAATTCAACAACAAAATGTAATAAAAAACGATAGAACCTTTTTTTTTATAATTTGGAAAATGTTTCAGAGGCTTCATGTAAAGTAAGCCCCAAAATTAAAATACCGATTTCAAATACCACGAGCTGCGACATCAGCTAGAACAATTTGGGAATGTCGATTTTGGACAAAAATCAGCTGAACGGTTTTTGCTCTAGCGTTGTGCACAAACGGACAGACGTTTTGCCGTCAAGCGATTTTTCGGTATGAAGGATGCACAAAACATGGATTCTGCCTACACCACGTGCTAGAGGGCTTTTTTTTTTTTAATTTATTTATTTAGCAACTGAATGTATCCACCTTTTCCTTACAAGGAAAAAGTATGAATTTTAAAACAATTTGTTTACCGGGAGAGGTGGCTCAAGGGAATCAACTGATGCCCTGACCGTGAGGTCCTAGGTTCGTGCCCTGACGGTGGCGGGATTTTCGACACTAGCTTGTCAGACTGGAGGAGAAATCTGGCTGCCGGCTGCTCTGATCGGTAGTTTTCCCTGGTTTCTCCGATTAACACCAGGTGAATGCTGGAACAGTACCCTAACAAACGGGCCACGGACCGCGCGTAATTTTTACTTGATCTTCCTTGTCCTATCCTCACCCGTTACTACACATCCTTACAGTCACAAGTTCTACCCTACAACACATGCCGGAAGACCGGTCGGGAGTTAAGAGCTTGTCCCGGCCGGGAAGGTGCCCCGCTGGTAAGAGATATCTGATTGGGGATAACCGATATCCGGGATATCCGATGGTAGGTCGGCGTCGTATCTCACCATTCAGCGGGGGAAGATCACCGGTTCCTCCCGAGGAAAACCATGCACTACACTTATGGGGCTAATAACCGTATCCGTTGACGCGCCCGGAATCACGTACAATCAATCATCAATAAAACGAGTTTGCCAGGAACGATATAATTACGAAGTTTGGAATCTCTGCGAATTCCAAAGCTCGGCAATAAGAGTTTTAGTGTCGGAAATACACTGTTTTTCCCGCATCATTACAAAACTTCCTCGGTATTGCGTAAACAGTAGAAAGTATCAAAGCAACATACAGCAAATAAGGCATAAGTGAAGGAACATGCTTTGCCTGAGTAGTTAATTATCGGTCATTAATTTGACAAGAAAATAATTCTATCTATAATGTAAAATGGAAATTATTTTATTTAAAAATCAGCCCCACCCCACCCCGCTCCACTCTATTCTACTCCACCTTGATGTGCCCCTCCCCATGCCTCATCCAGTCTCTCTCCAATACCTCAGCAACCCTCCTGTGCCACAGTCCATCATACAAATGATATATTTTGGATTGCTAATAAATACCAACTCACCTCCTGCCCCTGCTAAATAAAAACTACCAAAAACTGTTAGGAGAGCTTTTCTTCTCTCCCCTAAGGTTGTGAGAATGAGTATTAAAGATTGAACCACTTTCCTAGCTTTCATTTGTGCCCTCGAACTCCTCTGATGATGGCTTAGTACCATATGTTATGCTTCAGCCCATCCCTATTAATATTACAATTGCATTTATAATTTTATATTACATATTTTTTTATTTGCAAGTCTAGGATTTTTTTTTGTATTGACTTTAATTATCGATGTTAAATATTTTAATGATATTGGAGGTCTCATAGTTTGGTTAGGGTCCTTCAGTTGTTATTTTGACACACACTTGTTCTATACTTTACAGCAAAACCGAAAGATTTATGTTTTGGAAAACATTTTTGTTTCATTAATTTTTCAAAATATTTTAAGCAGAGGAAGAGAAAGTTGCTATGTTAAAATAGGGCAAAAATGAACATGCATCAATTTAATGTTTCAGACCCATTCTTGGTAGTAAACCTCTAAGGCTTCGAATGTGTGGTGTTGAATATATGAATGATGATCCTCGTGAAGTGGATGTGTTATATGGCAAAGTTGAAGTTACTGATGGAACCCAAATTCTCCAAGATTTAGCTGATGGAGTTGTTGATTTCTTTGCTAATCATGGTAATTAAGTTTGCATTGTTATTGAACATCTGATCAAACCTGTCAATTAATGCAACTATATTTTTTCAGCTGATGGTTTAATGGAAAAGCAGTATGATTCTGTAAAATTGCATGTAACATTGATGAATACATTATTTAGAGAAGATAAAGGTGGTGTTTCTGAGCAGGAGACGTCTCGGCGTAAGCACAAACCAAGAGAGTCGTTTGATGCTACAGAAATTTTACAAGTAAGTTTGTTTACTTTTTAGATATAAACATTTTGTTCTCTATCCTTTTTTATGTTTAAGCAATTTTCATTTATTCAGAAACCACTGGTGTATCTATAGATCACGCATTTTCAGATTTGTGTATGAACAGAACACACATTTTCAGATTTGTGTATGAATAGGACACACATTTTCGGATCAAGGTGCTTGTCTTCACCCTACAGGCTCTGTATTGTTCTACCCTCCCTGCCACATTTCAAAACTTCCTAAATGGTTACCTCTGTCAGCGACTTAAGTTCCATAGGGATTGACAAGACCGTGTCTAGGGGCCCTGTTCTAAGTACCCAAATTCAAAACGAAATACTAAATCTTTTATCTCAAACTGTATCTTATAAACATGGAAGAAAAACCACTGAAGTGCTATTTTTTCTATTATAGTGGTCACAATGTAAGACATATAAGAAGTTGACCAATTAAGTCAAATTTCCCCATTTTTTACCAGCATGAAAAATTAATTTGGCAAGCCAGTTAAAATGAAAATTAATTTATCATTTTTGGGATTTAAGAGAGTTGAAGATCAATGAGCACAAGGTTTGCATTTTGGTATTGTCAAGGGTGTAAAAGAACAAGAATTGAATTTTCTAAATGTAGTCATGAATATGATGGCACAGTAATTATGAATGGAATTTACAATGGTGTGCAGAAAAAAAATGGATGAAGTTGATGACGCCTTCTTTGTGCATTGTGCTGCTCCTAATTTAAATCTTATGCTTAATTAATGCCGTGAATGGGTTATTTGAAGTTAAGACATTATTCTGTTTCCTGGAAAGACATAATTTTCTTTGGTCGTACCATGAATTCTTGGAACATGTAAACCGTGATAGATTTAGATAAAATGAAAACAATCTTACATTAAAACAACTTTGTCCTACAAAATGGTCATTATAGCTGAATGTTTTGGATATTTTAATATTTTGCAAGCTTTAACAAAAATTACATTTTCTACCAAAATGTCTGGAGCAAATGATGCTCATAACTTGAAAAAATTAATGGAAATGTTTGAATTTGTTTTCCATGTGGTACTACATTTCAAAACGACTTTCAAAATACCTTCGAAGTTCTGATTTGGATTTGCAAACGGCTCAGAATTTACTCAATGGACCTTACAAAGAATAGAGACCGTTCGTTATCACAATGGTGATTTTAACAATGTGGCAATAGTATTATTCAAAGTTTGGAAAGTTGAAGTGAAATTAAGTGCTAAATAAGTGAAGAAAATGAAAAGATATTTTGACAAACTTTGCGTGGATCAACGACTCATGGCAAACAAAGATACATACGTAATATTATCTATGGATGCCTAGATATTGCCATTAACCAGTTGGAGTGACTGTTTGTTGGATTGAAAAAGTGGTAGTAATTTTCAAAGTGATTCAGCCACAAGTTTTGGTAGCTCTTTCAGATGATGAAATTTATGAAGAAGCACAAAAATTTCAACGAAAATACACTGTAGATGTTGCAGCTAACTTGTATCAGTTATTGTCTCTGTGCATTTGAAACCCAAACTGATAAGCATTACTGGTGTTGTTTGCCTCTAAAATTTTGTAATCTTATTATCAACATTTTCTTGAAAATGTTCACAAAATTTGAAGTCAATGACATTGGTCTATATTCATTGCTTACTCCTCATCCTCATTCTTGAGTATGGCTTATGCTTCAGCTATTTACAATGATTAGAAAAAAATCCAGTTTCCATAATTAAGTTAAACATATGAGTTTGTGGTTTAGATATATATTTTGCAATACATACTCTTGTAGGAATATCATTTATACAAGCTGATTTCTTAGTATTTTGATGTGTTTATAATATTTTCATTCATATTTATGAAAAGAATAGAAATAAGGAATCTATAATAACATGATATTCATATTGAGGATTGTTAGAAGTATATATCTCGATTTTACCTGCTATTTTTGGCCCTATTTCAACAAAAACATATTCAAATAATTAGCTATTTCAGTTTCATTGGTAATGTAAGTTTTAGTTTGTTCAGAGAATAATATTTTAATAGATTTTCTTTCTGTTTTGTTTCCCCCAAACTAATATTTATAAAATTCCATAGAAATTCAACATTTCCTCTGTATGTCAATAACAAATCAATGTAATATCATTGTAATAAGATCTTGCATACATATTAATAAATTGAACATTGCTCATTAAATCGAAGTTAAATTGAACATTGCTAATTAAACTAATTTATTTGAATATAAGAAAAATCTTGTATTTTGAGGTGTCTTCCTGGAATTTTTGGAATTATTTCTTATTTTTCAGGAAGAAAAATATCAAATTGTCTGAATTACTAGAAACCTGTATTGTCAATGTGAAAAATCTTTTTGCTTGTGCTATCACTATTTTCTTCTGACTACAGAAAATGTGAGAGGAAGTCATTTTATGCATACAGGAAGATTATCTGCTCTTTTGTTACCAGGGCTCAGCAATAAGAGCTTTTCTGATGAAAATCCACCGTTTTCCCCCATTGCATTACAATACTTTCTCTATACTGCGCAAGAAAGTGCATGAGAATGTGAAAAATCTCTAGCATGAATATTGTAGTTGTGCAATGTTAAATTTTAGCAATATTTGAAAACACGGAGCGTTCTCTGAATGGGTGGTGCTACAGAATGCTACATAATTTCTGGCATAACTTTTCAGATTTTCCTTCATTTTGGAAACAACCCTTCGAATAGTTTAGTTGCCAGAGTTGTGCACAGACACATGATAGGCAGATGGATTGAAAAGAAAACTGTTTTGGTGTCAGGGGATGCCGAAATCTTTTTTTCATTGAAACAGTGTTATTAATTTTCCGCATCATTACAGAACTTTCTCTAAACTACGTATACTACTTCGTATACACATATGTATATGAGGAAGTAAAAGTACATCTTTAATATTGTAGCCAATTCCATTCAGATTAAAATACTTAAAGATGTACCAACTATTTCAGCTCAGGATCCCAAAATGAAATATAAAGTTCCAACGTCTTTATGATTAGTAAAAAATAATCATTGTTGTGAATAAGTGGCTAAAGATTAGGTGATAGAGTGTAAATCTTTTTATGAGTAGAATATCCTGTATATATTAAGTTTCGGTAAATTCTACAAAAATGACATGTGCATCCTTTTAATAAGTGTGTTGTTCAATCTGAAAAAAATTCAACACAAATTTTGGAGCCATTTTTGAGAACATTTTGAAAATGGACTTGCAAGATTCATAGTTTTATTGCATAAATATATAATTTTTATATAATCAACTTGTTTTAATTTTTTTAAAAGGTTCCATTTAAGAAAGTTTTTATGACATAACCCAGCAGTGCATTTGGGTAACCTATGAAACCCAGATGCTATTTAATTATGCATCAATTATGCATTTTGATTCCCAATGAACTGAGCATCTATAGCTTTCATGATGCCTATTGTCTAATTAAAATTTACATTTTTCCTATTTGAAACGTGAATTAATTGATAGAAGATACAACAATTTTTCAGAAAATAATTTGGAAAAATACATAATTGTAATTTATAATGCAAACAATAATTAAGAACATTTCCTCTGTAACATGATTCTTATTATTTCTGAAGGTATATTTGTATTTTTCAATTTTTGTAATTACTTTTTGTATTTTTATGCTAATTTAATTTTGTTTGTGAATAATATTTAAAATGTCAAATATGGGCTGTTTAAACAACATGGACTAACTTAATTATAATAAAAACACTAAAATCATAATATTTCATTCACCTTAAATATCACATTCAAAATATAAAATAAGTTAATAAGTGGATAAACTGAAGTTTTTATGTTACATAACACCATTTTTGCAAAGTTTTGAACTTTTTATTGCATGTTTTTGCTTGTTTTGGTGTTTTTACTGCATGTTTAAGAGAGTTTTACTGCATGAAAATCTGGTCTTCAATTATCTATATTATCTTTGTATGATTAAATGCATTCTTAGGATCCATTTTCTTTTCTTTAGTGACTGTCAGAAACCCTTATATTGTGATGGCGACATCTTTTTTACTGCTACCTTTCTGAAATTCACCTCACTTTTTTGTTTTTTCATAATAGCATTGAAGGTATTACTTTGGAACTTGAATGTAATAGGAAACTGTTATCAGTATAATTATTGAAGGCTTCGGATATTATTTGCAATTTTTTACTGTTATTATTAATATGATATATGTAAACTTTATTATAAGTTGAATTTCCTTTTGGCATATTTGGGGAGTTCCATTTTATATGTTCCAGGTGTTTTCCTCTCCTTTTTATTGAGAGTATTTTTCTGCAAAACCTATTTTATGATGTTTGTTTTTTTATCTTTAGTTAAAAATACAACATTGTTGTTCATGACTATGTTATTTTGTGTCCCGTTTTAAACCTTTTTATTTTTACCTTTCTATGAAGCCAATGTGTACATTATAATACTTCTTTGAAAATATGAGTTGGTTTCTTTAATTTTTCTTATATTCTTGGAATTGGTATGAAGTTTGGAATTGTTTTGTCTCTTAATTTATCTGAATGCAATATTTGCAGTCCTTTGCTGACTACAATTTTGGAGAAGAGGAAGTACACAGCATTCATTTGTCTCAAAGATATACCACAGCTGAAAATGGATACTACCAAGCTTCTGTAGTACTCTCACTGTATTAGATAAGGTATGTCCTGTAAATGAATTAAGTGAAAATCTATTGTTTGTGATGGTGGTTGTGATTTTGTATGAATGTCATAAACCTGTGATACTGTGAAGGTTGATCGTTCAATCCTCAATAAAAATAATTTCTGTACCAAGAAATAAATTTGTAAATAAATAATGTTGTTCCAACAAAACGAGCTTGGCTGCTTCACAAGGGCTAGTCCAACCCCTGTGAAGTGTCTTAAACTCTATCTCTATCGTAATTCCTTTCGAATTCTGGCCGCTGGGTAATGACGCAGGAGGCGCGTACGCGGAGATGCTACCTGGCGGTCCTCTTGACAACTGCGACGTGACGTGACTATAATGATATACAGTTAATGGAGGATTACTCCCAAGCGAAAAGCGCTCAATGGCCCCCAGAGACTTGCAGATGCTTTGCATCAATCTAGATGCAACAATTAAATTAAATTTAAAAAAATCTTATTTAAATATCCTTTGTGCCTAGATTTGATTCTTTATACAATTATTTATCCATTTAACGTAAGTTGTCCTTGTTTACCAGATAACTTACATTTATTGCAGAATAAGTTTATATTCATGTCGTGTGCAAACCATTCTTCAGTACCATTTATTAACTTAAACTTTAATCCACGTGTGTACTGTCAGGGTACCGAGCGAAGTGGCCCAGGGCGTAGTGCGCTGTCTTCGCGAGTCCCGAATTCAATCCCCGTGCCGGCCATCCTCAGCGGGGTTTTCGTGGTTTCCCTCGGTCAATCAGGTGAATGCTGGAGTGGTTCTACTGAAAGGCCTCGACCGCGAAACCGGCGTTGCTAGTCAAATTCGTTAAGCGGTCCCGAAGGTTAAGCCAATTCGAGACATCAAGGGTTCCTGGTTGGGTGACCTACTAGCAATCCCGGGATCTAACGGCATCAAGGCCAATTGCCCTTTAGGGGACTTATAATGGCTTAATACAAATACAATCAGGATTATTTTTACAAACAATTCACTGGATTAAAAAATGTCTTAAAATCTATTACACTATAAGTGATTCATGAGAATTGCAAACGCAAGTTTTTGCCTAAAATTTTAGATGTTGAATGGGTTTGCCTTTCGTCACATTACGATTACCATCAAATGGGGTGACAATGGAATCGAATTTCATTGTTTGTAAATAACTTACAAAACGTATAATACATGCTTGCTTATTTGGTAAATTTTATTTTAAGAATTTTTGATTGTGGTAGATATGTTATTATTATCTATACATTTATTATTTTTCATTCATAAATTTGTTTGAAAATGTAATAAAATAGCAACATATTCTATAACAATGAGTTGATTACACAAATTGTATTGATATACTTTTGTTTACATACTTTTATTATTACCACATATTAAACCGTGGATCAAATATTAAAAGTAGTATCTTCGGACGAGAAAAAAATATTTTGCGAAAAAACAACAAAAAACAAAAAAAAAAAAAAAAAAAAAAAACGATAAAAACAGTCTTCGCACCAATAAAAAAACTCGTTTCAAAATTTTCTAGAGATGAAAATTAGTAAAAAAATGTACACGGGACGCCCTTCCCCCACGTTATGGATACGTCCCGGAATATCGGGGCATTATCTCGACGACTTGTTCACCTGCGGGGATGAGGAAAAGAGCTATCGTCATGTGTCCACGCGGTGGGCTTAACTTCACCCCTTTGGTAAAGCACAAGTGCATGGGATGGTATACCTCCCAGGGATTTTACCACGAAGGGCTGCTTTCACTACACAAAGAGTAATAGTTTACTCTGGAGTAAATCATGTTTACCCAAGAGTAATTTCTTGGAGCGTTTCACCAACACTTTTCTTGAGTGTAAATCTCTTACACGAGAGTAACTTACGGGCCCGGTTTAACCAACAGCTGAATAAAGTTAAGAGTAGTTACCCGAGAGTAAGCACTACTCTACGATAGTTACTCTTCAGTAGAATGTAAGCGTTTCGCCACACTTCTTACCATATAGTAATGTTAGAAGTTACTCCATAGTTACGTTATTTTAGTCTTTAGTACATACTTCACTGTCTACTCTGAGAACCAACTGAACGCGCAATTTTTCATACACAACAGCGAATCAAGAGGCCATAAGCGAGAGTGTCGCTGTTAACGTGAACCTCTGGTTACTTCCTTATATTCCAGCATTCATTTCATTTCAGTTTTTAGAGGCGTCTTGGTGGTTTGTGTTAGCGTAGTTTATTTCTTAGGTTTTGTATCTTTATTTCTTAGTACTTTCAGTCCTTGTAGTTATTATTTTTGCTTTTGTTATAGTATACTTACTGTGTTTATTTCGTATCCACATTGATGAAAAGAAATTTTACAAGTCCTCCACAGTTTATAAAGAACGAGGTGAAGTTAACATCGTACTTCATAAAAAAAATACGTTGTTACACTTTTTAAATTATTTTAATAGATGTATCATGTTTTCATCTGGACTGTGAACTGGTTGTAATTTTAAGGTACGTACAATTCAGAAAAAAATGTTTACGAAATGATTCTACTTGTATTTTTTTTTTTAGTTTCGTAATTAGTATGCAAAATATTTGTTTCCAAAAATTCAGCTTCAGTTCTTCCAAATAGAAGAGCTGATTTTGTAAAACATTACCTCGTGACAAAATCTCGATCGTGAGAATTGGAAAACCAATCCATTATCTCTCGCACCCATCTTCAAATACCAGCAATGGCAATCGTTGAGCTATTATAAAACTTCGAAGCATACGCACGTTGAAAACTGAGCTTACTTCGTACTTTACTCGAAGGATTTTCGCCATGTAAAGCTTCTCTCGAATTTAATCTCTTGCAAGTGATTTACACTTGAAGTAAGGTGTTAGTGAAACGCTCCAAGAAGTTAATCTCGAGTAAACATGAGAGTGAACTCTTACTCCTTGTTTGGTGAAACAGTCCCTTACAGGCCAAAATCCATCGGGTAAAGTGCGGAGTAAGCTCAATTTTCAACGTGCGTGTGCCTCCCAAGTGTTGTTATGGTTCGACGATAACGAATGATAGTATTTGCAGGCGATTCCAGCGATGATTCGGAATATGATCCACTAGTGCGAAGACAGAGGGTGCGGGAGAGAAAGGATTGGTTCCAATTATGACGATCGATATTTTGTCACGAGGTTATGTTTAACCAAATCAGCTGTTAACTTCATCAAAAACTACATTCGCAACTGTACAGGACTTGTAAATTTCTTTTTCACCGATGTGGATACGAAATAATGGTAGTAAGAACGCGATAACAAAAGGAAAAAATAATAACAAGGACTAAAAGTACTAAGAAATATTGATTTATTTATTTAGTAAACAACAGTAAAAGTTGAATGTGACGACTGGGAGAGATCATCTGCGCACGTTTTGTTGAGTTCCAGAATCACTTCCCAACATTTTAACTATCAATAGTTGAAAGATGAACGAAAGTTTAAAAATAAATCAAACGAAATAATTAATAATAACGATAAAATTTAAAAAAAAGCGCAAGATTAGCAACGTTTGAAAAACTAAACATTTTCGTTCCCGAATTTTTGGGAATTTATTTGCATCGATAAATGAACTGCAGATTTAATTTTTCTGCATTGCTAACAAAAAATAGCAAATCCCCCGAAGAGAAGAGCAAATACTATTTATTAAGAAACAAAGATGCAAAAACTATGAAATAAACTATGCTATAATTACTATAACGGTCCACAAAATTATAATGCCAAGACGTCGCCAAGAACTCCGAAACTCAAATGATAGAATATAAGGAATTAACCAGAAGTTCGCGTTGGTCCTCATTGGATCACAGCGTCATTCTCACTCACAGCCTCTGGAATCGCTCTAAAAAATTTCGCGGCTTACTGATTCGCGTAGTAAATAGAATATGTGCTCTAGAGTAAAATAACACAAGCGTGGTGAAACGTTAATATTGTACTCGAGAGTAACTATCGTAGAGTAATGCTTACTCTCGGGCAACTACTCTTAACTTTACACGACTGTTGCTGAAACCGGCCCTAAATAAGGAACTACCCTATGTGATCAAAAGTATTCGGACCCGGGGTTTCTAGTTCGTGGCGTCCTCCATCGGTAATGTTGGAATTCAATGAGGAGTTGACCCTCCCTCAGCCTTGATGACAGCTTCCACTCTCGTAGGCATACTTTCAGTCAGGTGCTGGAAGATTTCATGGGGAATAGCAGTCCGTCTTCACGGAGTGCTGCTCTGAGGAGAGGTATCGATGTAGGTCGGGGAGGCCTGGCACGAAGTCGACGTTCCAAAACATCAAACATCACAGAGGTGTTCGATGGGATTCAAGTCAGGACTCTGTGCAGGCCAGTCCATTACAGAGATGTTATTGTCGTGCAACAATAACTCCGCCATAGGCCGTGCAGTACGAACAGGTTCTCGATTGTGTAGAAATATGCAATCGCCATCTCCGAATTGCTCTTCAACAGTGGGAAGCAAGAAGGTGTGTAAAACATCAAGGCTTGTGCCGTGATAGTGCCACACAAAACAACAAGGGGTGCAAGCCCCCTCCATGAAAAACACGACCACACCATAACACCATTTTGGAAGTGTACGGATACTTTTAATCATATAGTGTATGCCTGATCTGAAGCGGAAGTGTCTCGTTGAAATTCGACCAAGCCGCAGTGTCGCGACGCTGCCCGTTGCTGGTGCAGCCTAGTCCGAAGTGCAGTGACGTCACGGAGTTCAGAGCGAGCGACCGCGGGCGCGGGGACGAGAAAATGTTCCGAAGTGCGTCAGCGGTGGAGCTTCAACGCGGGGAATCTCACGGAAATGCATCACCAGACCTCTGCCCGCCGCGCCGCCACGCAGGAAGACCGGTCTCCTCCGCCATTTGCGAGTTCCCTGCAGAACAATTCGTCGGGCTTCGAATTTTTTGACATCCAAGTTTTGCGCTTAATGTGTTTTCGTTGTCGATTTTATATTTTTGAAAGAAAAGACCATAATAAATAAAACTTGTCATAATAAATTAACATATCAGTTAATTGCATGTTCTCCTAAACCAACGTGACTGTTAAGAATCTACCGTGACTGTTAAGAATTCGCATAACCAAAATCAATCGGCAAATGTTACATTCTTTTCTTGCGCTGATACCTTGTTTCTTACTTGAGCACCACCGATTAATTTGCTGGAGTACCTTCCACAAGGTTTCG